GCATTGCTTGTTCTTCTTCTTGTTGGGACGGTTGGAGGCACCTTCGCTGGCGTCCTCGTCCCTCTTTGCCTTGCCTTTGAGGCGGTCAAAAATCGCTCTGACCGCCTCCTCGCTTGAGGCGTGGCTGGTGGCGACGTTAAGGAGGTCCTTGGTGGTTCACGGGCCTTTATGTCCTAGCTTATGGACTAGGGACTCACATGTGGTCCCAGATAGGAAGGCTCCTATGACGTCGATGTCGGTGACATTGGGCAGCTCGTTGCACTACTAGGAGAAGCGCTGGATGTACCCACAAAGAGTTTCCCTAGACTTCTGTCGGTGGGTTTTTATGATCCCATGGGTTCCCAGGACATGTGTATGTGCCCTAGAAGTTTCCCACAAAGATCACTTTTAGGTCCGCCCAACTTTGGATTCGGTTGGGCGGAAGATGTTCCAACCACGTTCGTGCCGAATCAGCCAGGAATAATGGAAGGTTGCGGATAATGAAATCGTCATTATCCACTCCACCGGCTTGGCAAGCAAGCCGATAATCCTCGAGCCACAGTCCGGGCTTCATTTCCCCAGAGTATTTCGGGATGTTGGTCAGCAGTAGGTACCGCGGTGGGAAGACGGCGTTGAGGATGTGTCGGCTAAAGGCCTGAGGTCCCGGCAAGTCGAGGCTCGGGCTTCGGTCCTCGCCACTGTCGTAGTGTCCGCCACGACGAGGGTGGTAGCCGTGGCTAGCCTCCTCCCTTGCATCTCCGTGGGTACGCCTGTGGGCGTCGAGGGTGTTGCGTGCGTCACGGTGGAGCCAGAGACGTTCATGCACTAGGACCGCGGTGCGTGGCCTGCTGCCTTGCTACGCTTGGTGGACCGACATGTCCTTGTCGGGTTGCTCTGATGGCGCGCGCTGGCTGGCATCGAGCTCGCACCGTTGGGACAGTGAGCTCTCGGCCTACTGCGCCACTGCACACTCGAGTAGGGTGCGAATCTCACGATGGGTCCGGCGATCCTCGGGCGTCGCGGGCCCTGGAAGCCCCCGGAGCAAGGCTGCCACAGCAGCGATGTTCTGGCTTGCTCGAGTAAAGTGTGGGAGGGCTTCGTCGTCCTCGATGATTCTCCGGTTCACGTCACGGGCCACGGCGTGCGCACACCCACCATCTCCGTGGTGCTCGATTTCTTGCTCGAGCTCCGCGTTTCCTGCTTGAGCTGGAGCCATGCTTCCTCGATCTCTTGGTGTTGGGCCTTCAGTTGCTCAACCCGCAGGCGAGGTGGGGCCCCTGCATCCCCCTCGACCTTATCGTCGAGGTCGTTCGTTGGGGTAGCCTCTCCCTCATGGATGCTTTCGACGTATCCCTCGGGGGTACCTGCCATGAAATATTCACAAGAAGGGTGATGGCTCCCCCTACTGGTGTCAGAGTTGGAGGGCGACCCTGATTCTCCCATGAGGAGGTCATGGAAAGATTTCACGACATATTTGGTCATCCCCATGAACCTGTCGTTCACGGGGGATGAAGGCGTGCGTTATGCCACAAGGTGGCCAACGATCTCTGTGGCATTGCGGAGACCGGAAGAGAGCGCTGTCGGGGCGCTCCGGATGAGGTATTCCAGGGAGAGCAGCTCTCCCCTGGCCAGCTACGTCATGACATTGGCGAAGCCGAGGAGCTGGTCGCTCCCGGGGCATGGGACTCCGGTGCATGCAGCTGCAGCTCCTCAAGCGCCTCAGTGATAGGAGCCTACATCGACTCTCCCTCCATTGTGACGATGAAGTCTAGGTTCCCGAAGTGCACGTGCATGCCCGAGACCCAGCTGACGTCGTGACTAGCCATCCGAGGCCTGATGTGGACGTCGAGACGCGCAAAAAGCCCCTACTTGGTGCACCAACTGTCGGTGTTTCGAGTTACCAACTAGTAAATTTCTAGTATTGTGCATCTGGCTCGAATGGTGTGCTTAGAGGACATGAGGTTTATACTGGTTTGAGCAAAAAGTCCCTGCATCTAGTTCGTCGCTGTTGCTCGTATTACTAGCACTAAAAGTTTATAGTAGGGGTTACAAACGAGCGAGAGAGGGATAGGTCCCAAGTCTCTAATGTGCATGTGCTCCTAAGGCGTGTTAGGGCATGTGTTTTGATGTCTACAGTCGTGTAGAGTGGTGAACCACCCTCTTCCTAGGACGTCCTGCTTCCCCTTTTATAGACGAAGGGGAAGAGCAGGTTACACAGAGAGAAAGAGGGAGAAGAGGCAAGGAGAGGAAGGCTTCCAGGGCCGCTGAGCCTTCCTTTTCCTTTGTGTGGGTCCTGCCGACACTGTAGATGGTGACAGGGATAGCTCCATGCTGGGCGTCTATCCACCGCTGATGCCACGCCCTGGCATTGTCAGTGGGTTGTGACGTCCCATTCTGCCCCGGCGGGCGACACGGCGAACCAGTGTGCTGGTCAGCGGCCGTATAGGGAGTAGGCAACATAGTGACCATGCGTCAGTCACTGTTGGTGATGTGAGTTCCCTAGAATGACATGTCGCGGGCACGGATTGTGTTAAGATGTGCTCGCTCCTTGCATGATGCTAGAAGTTTGACCTTGGGTTGTACTTTCTGTCCCGTAGTGGTTGGCGGCGGTATGGGCTTCCGTCAGGAGCCGCGCCGGAGGGGTCGAGCGAGATGAAGCCCCCGACCTAGAGGCCGGGCGAGGCGGAGCCCCCGACCCAGAGGTCGGATGAGGCGGAACCCCCGACCCAGAGGTCGGACGAGGCGGAGCCCGCCCCCAGCGTTCGGGCGATTCGGAGCCCGTGGCCGGGCAAGGTGGAGCCCACGGCCTCGGGGTCGAGCGAGACGGAGCCCGCCCCTAGGGGTCGAGCGAGGCAGAGCCTGCGCACCTGGGGTCGGTTGGAGCTGTAGTCGCGCTTTTAACTGCTTGGATGAATCGATGTTGATGACCATTAGCTCCTCCTCTGGGTACCCTAGTATTGGTCTCCAACAACGCTGATGCAAGAACATAGAATTAACTGCAGTGGGGGATGATGCATTGTCTGATTGTGATTCAACAGGATCATCAACAACCTCAATACTAAGATATTTAGATAGCACATGTCTAAGTTTACGCATGGCAGAAACATTAGATGATGTATTGTCTAAAGTAACAGCAAACACCTTTTCAGTCAAAACCATAATCAGTAAGCACAGATGCAAAACGATCAACAATATTTTGTCCATTATGTGACACATCAATAAGCACAAGACCAAGCACCCTCTTCTCTACTTGCCAATCAGAGTTTATGTAATGAGCAACAACACTAAGGTAGTCCTCTTTGACATTACCAGACCAAATATTAGAGGTCAAACACACACAATTAACAGCAGAAGAACTAAGATTCTCAACAAGTTTAGCCTTACGATCAGTGAAAAATTTAACCATGTCTCTAGTGGTGGTTTGCCTAGAGGCAGAAACATATTTAGGATTATGAGCGGTTCTAATGTACTCTTCAAATGCATCAGTTTCACCCATATTGATAGGAACATCTAGCCTAGCAAGTAATCGAACAAGTTCAGTACGTGCAACCATAGGACAGTACTCCCAATTACGCATACTACCATCAGGATTAAAAGAGATCTGAGACTGAGACATGTAATTTTTTTCACGCCTCCTGGGGCATTTATCCCTATGCCGGATGAGGTGACCAGTGCCACCACTAGAGAGAGTAGAATATTGCTTAGAGCAATGGATGCACTTAGCGACATACCTGACCTTCTTACCATTGACTTTTTTAAGAGCTTCTTAAAATCCAGCCACACTACCGAGGTAGAGGGACGAGAGCGCTTGGCGCTGTTCTCGTCCTCTTCACCTTCCTCGTCGTTTGTTGCCCCGCCTTCTTGACCATCGCTGACATCAATGGGAGCCTGAGCGCTACGGCCGAACAGCTCCTCGGCGTCCTCGCGCGGGTCATCCTCATCGTCATCTCCAGCCAACCCGCGACAACCGTCTCTCTTCGTTGGCGCCGACCTCAACCATTTCGTCGTCGGAGCCGGGCATCGTCACTCGCCGACGCCCCAGTTCCTCCACAGCTACAAAAAAGAAGCATCAGTACATATCTAGGGTTATGGTTAGCAAGGATTAGCAAGTTAGGGTTAGGGTTAGGCTTACCTTCGCAACCGGAGCACCAGAATCGCCGATGACATTGACGAAACACGGATCTGTCCCTCTAGTTCCTCAACGGATTCGAATCCGGAGCACCAGAGCAGCCGACATTTGATGAGGTCGACGGAGACAAAGAGGAGGACGACAAGGAGAGGACAAGGCTACATCGACGATGCGAGATCAAGAAGATGGGGTACTATACTGTGCCGTGTGCTAGTGCGGCCACTGGTGGCTCAAGAGGCTATTGGAGGGGGAGAAGAGGAGAGGAGGTTGGAGGCGGGAGAGGAGAGTCGTCGTCGTAGCAGAGAGAGCCTGATAGGAGAGCGAGACAGAGAGAGAGAGAGAGCGGCGCTCAAAATAAATTTGAGTTTAGGTGGGATCAGAGGCGACGGGGGCAAGGTGGTTTATATACCCTTCCCCTTCCAATGGACACATCCAACGGTCGAGAGGAGCGGGGGAGGTAAATCAACGGCTCTAAGCCATGCCGCAGCCGTGCCGGTCTGTTAACCGTGCCGTGCCTGGGCCGGTACCGCGGGCCAAAATGATGGCCCAGACACGCCATTACGGCCGGGCCGTGTCAAGCAGGTACGGGCATGATGCTAACCAGGTCAAGCCGTGCCTGGACCTTGCTTTTCCATGCCGTGGCTGGACCGGTTCATCGTGTTAGTGCCAAAGTGGAAAAATATAGGCTCAGGGGTCCGCCACTGGCCAGCCAGCCAGCTGTTGCCATTTGTGGTTCCTCGACCCTTTCCTTTCTAAGTAATAAAAACTGCTCCTTTTTTCCTCCAAAAATGGCATCCCTGCAGATCCCCAACGCTACCTGATTGAGCCCGGCCGGCAGGCACCTGCAGCTCCCCTCCCATCCCCTCCGCTCCGATTCGCCGCCGGGCAAGGCATGCGGATCCATCCATCACCACCCGACCACCTCATGGTGATGGCCACCGCTGCGGCCGCCATGAACATGGATGCGCCGGCGGCGCCCGACGGAAACGCCGCCAACAAGGCGGCCAAGCAGGGGCGGCGCGGGCGCCGCGAGATGCGCCGGATCGAGGACTCCACGAGTCGCCAGGTGACCTTCTGCAAGCGCCGGAGCGGACTCCTCAAGAAGGCGTACGAGCTGTCGGTGCTGTGCGGGGCCGAGGTCGCGCTCATCGTCTTCTCCCCCCGCGGCCGCCTCTACCAGTTCGCCTCCGCTGCCGAGTACATACTACTCTCCTTTCCTTTCCTTGGTCCGCCTGCCCTAGCCGCCCGTAACCGCAGGTCGCGCCATGGCCTTTGTTCTTCATTCCTCTTTTGTTTGCTTCGTTTCGTCATCAGCCGTACGTGCCTACTTCCTTCTCTTTGCCGGCCATGTGTTTTTGGTTACTAATTCCAAGATTAATCCACGTCCAGTACGTGTGTGCATGAAATAGCTAGAATTAATGCCGCGGCGACATATGCAGATTATCCGTTCATCATCGCTTGTTTTTTTCTTTCTGCATCCCACATGTCCAGGTCTAGAATTGCGTTTTTTTTTCCTGGACGGAGGGAGTATATCATACAGATACAGTAAACTGCTAGATCCACAACATTCATCAATTCGTGCATATTATTTCTTGGAGTTTAGATAGATTACAACACTGATACATACGTAGACTGACCGGTAAAGAATGCTGCTCACTAATTCGAACAATAGCGGAACTAGCACTAGCTATATGTATTTGTTTTTCTATTTTTCACTCTTCATTCAATTCATTTTTTATTCTCCCGGACCGGCCCTTTCTAAAGGTAAAAAGATAAACCTCTCAATACCCAGTCAGAATGCCCAAGAAAAGAAACAGTATTTTCCTCTCTCAAAAAACCAAAGACCAGCTCAAACCAAAGACCAGCCCCAACCAGTTCAGGCCGTGCCCAAGAAAAGAAACAGTACCTCGCTCGCTGTGGCCATCAGTTCATTCGTACACCGTGCTTTCGTACAATTGGCAGTGGTCAGCGACATGCCTTTGACTTGCATCTGCAAATGCAGAACTACTATGGCCCTGTTTGGTCAGCTTTTATGAGGCTGCTAAAACCTCCTAAAAAAGTGTTTGGTTTTATCTTCTAAAATTGACTAAAAGCAATAAATGTACTAGCAAATAGACCATGCAGCCCTCCTCTGAGAGAGAGATAGGGGGCAGGGCAATAAAGGAGGGGCAGTGAGGGTCTATGATGGACTTTATGAGCTTTTAGAAGGGGGTGGAGTTCCTAAAGTTTTTGGCCCCTCCTAAAGTTTTTAGAAGCTTTTAGGAGGAGGTGTTTGGTTCTTTAGGCAAATTCTATTCAGATTTTAACTCTTAAAACTTTTAGAAGGGGTAACCAAACATGGCCTATATGAATCGGGTTATTCTCCATTTCTTTAGTTAGTGGCAATTAATTCATCAACCTATAGCTGTAGCATGATTACACGGAACAACTTCTCTTGTAATCAACAGTACATGAAATACAGTCAACAAACACTGTATATCTCTCCCACGCATGCCCTTGTTCTCTTTTGCATCATTGTGCAAAATCTCTTTTACCTAAAGCTAGCGCTCATAAAGTAATTCTCCATCTGAAGAGATAAAAATGTAAAACAAAAAATAGCCCTCTACTCAAACGATGTCTATATGCTAACCTATTATTATAGATAACTCTTAGTTGATCAAACGACAGATAGTCGTACTGGAACATGTATTGTAACTTGAACGCAGATGGTACCAAGTATAGCCCATTACTCAAAGACTCAAGGAACATGATGTAAAGTTCACTTCTTAATCTGATGAATGACATATATTTGATTTCATCTTTCTAAGCTCATTAATTTGTGTTATTTCTCAATACTGTTGGTTCCTGATTTGGACTATGCCCTTCAAGCCCACTATCACAAAAAAATATTCATAATCGTTTCATTTGGATCCAGACCTTAATTAGAAGAGCTATTTAGTTCAAAAGATACTACCTTCCTCCTGAAAAAGATGCAATTCTAGTTCTCTTCTTAGTCAAATTATCTAAAGTTTGACCAAATTTATGTAAAAGGGCATCAATATTTATGTCACCAAATAGCTATAATTATTAAAAATATATTCAATGAAGAATGTAACGGTACTTCTTTGGTATCATAAATATTGATACTTTTCTATATAAACTTGGTTACACATAAGATGGTTTGACTTGGAACTATGCTATAGAATTGCATTATTTTCTGGATGGATGGAGTACTTATGGAAGAATTTCATTGAATACATATAGTGGCTACAACACATGTTCGTTATCATGCTTTCGTACATATATGGTAGTTGGGTCACTTGTGACTTGTGCACCATAGATATGGTATTCTCGAGAAGATAATCTCCTTGTGTATTTCCTGATTTTTCATGCATACTATGGAAGTCATGTGCCAAACAAAAAGAAGAATGAATATGAATAGTTCATATCAAAAGGGAAACACCAAAGCCCAACAAACTTTCTTCTTAAAATAATCCATGTTAGCACATTTAGTCTTTGAATACTTAATTATCCACAACATATCAAGGTTTTCAAAATGTCTAGTCAATCCTAGTCGTCACCACTGTAAAAACCATCTGATTAGTCGCCATTAGTCATTGACGACTAGCCAAACTAGTTGACTCGATGGTATAGCTGTTATGTATATTCCAGGACCGATATACTATTACATTATATTGTATAAAGCTAGAGAACCAACCAACAAGTAAGCATAGTAGCAGAGATCAGCAACAGTAGTGGAGCATGAGGCAAAGCAGCATCCAGCAGAGCAAGAGGCAAAGGGAAGAATCGTAGAGGAGGCAGAGGACATAATCACTATAGTAGCAAGAAGCCAAGAAGATGGAGGAGTACCGAAAGGACCACAGGAGAAAACTTCATCATTTGTTAGAGGAGAAGAAGGAACCCTAGGTGCCACTGCTCGGCGGATGAATCGTATATTGTGCATGCCTTGCCCTTGCGTTTGTGGGGATGGGATCCCCTAGACAAATCCCATTAGTGATTGAGGAAGAGTAGCCCACCAAGGAAGTGAAGAGAGTTGGTGCAGCTAGATGAAGAGCGCTGGCCACAATGTGAATTGATGTTGCGTCGGCAGCTTGAAGCGGATGCATGACGGCGCACACAAGAAATCATGGACTAGGAATAGGCATGAGTCTAGCTTCTTTCCTGTAAGGCTCTTGCTTTGAAAGATAACCCTAATGGAACAAATATTGGTAGCTGAAACTAAGCCCTCGTGCATCGGCTAGTCCGACAGCAACACAAACCTTGTTGCCCCCTCCATAATCGTCTGATTAACTGTGATTAGGTGACAGCTAATTGGATGACTTGAATCTTGGTCAATCAAATCAGATCGATGGACTAAATTGGAGGTAGTGGGCAATTCGGCTAACTAATCGCATTAATCAGACAACTTGTAAAAATTGTAACATATGACTCGGAAACACAACTATCTCAGAGAACCTTTAAAAAACAAACATATGACAGTATATTAACTATTAATAATAATAATTTTTATAAGGATACGTTAACTTATTACATTAGATTCACTTATCCCTAAGAATCCTTTTTATTGATGTTCAATATGACGTAGTTTAATTACTGACGATTTAATTAGTACTGGCACTATTGAAAATAGCAAATGCACGCTTGAGAATGTTCTAGAGAACTTGAGACCTTGCATGAGTCTAGTTGCCATGCTTATGCACTAGAACTTGTTTTCATGCTCAATAAGTTCACAATATTGGTGAACCTAGTAAGTTTCTAACACAGGAACACTTGTCACATTTTTCCCTGGTTTACCTACACCTATATATAAGGATATGCCACCCTTAACTTGTCATAACAAGCAATCGTGTGAGAAAGTCATGGAGGCATAACATAGGTAGCCACTATATTGATGTCATGAGTACTACCTATAACAATAAAGGGACTTTGAAAACCTATGAATGGGGTTGTGGATTGACGTTGGTTAAAACTATGGCCAACTTTGCAGATATAAAAACCTACACAAATTCTATATAAATGTGCATTGCCTTTTTATATGTGTTCCTATCTCTATCATACAAAAGTTTGCACCCTAGGTTCCAATCCTAACAATTACACGTGCATTCTGTAAGAGTTAAAACACACAAGCAAAGGTGCAAGAAAGTGTTGACACCAATTTTGGCATATCCAAAGTGTGGTAAAAACATATCATAGATGGTGAAATCTCATCTAAAAGAAACATAATATTCCTAATAAAAAATAAAAGTAACTGGCTATGAAATTTTATGCACCCCTTTAATTTTGGAATCTTGTGGTAGTGCCCCAGGCTTGGAACTTTTGGGGGACCATAGTTGTCTCCATTGCTTGCATTTGCTTTGGATTGGAAGACTTTGGTTTGTTACGCTGACTGGTTTTTGTCTAATGACTTGTTCAATGTTCTTCGCTAACAAGACACATGATGCATTTAGTTCTCAATGTTTGTAGCATTCGAGGACAACTCTTCAAAAGTTATTGGCCGCACACCTTGGAGGTAGATGGTCATGTCTAGGCTCAAATTGTTCATGCACATATGAACCCTTATGGTTCTATGATTGGTTCGGGGCTCTAGAGGCTTAGATTTCTCCACATGTTAATGAAGTCGATAGCTTTCCCATTTGCTCTTTGCAGAATTTGTGTCAAATCCGTTATCCCCACCATTCTGAGTGTTGTAGAAGTGCTCTAGAAAGGCATCTTGCATTTGCTCCCATGTTCGAATGGAGCCTGGTGCCAATTTGTTATACAGGTTAAATCCGGTCCAATTCCTACAAACTGTCAGAGGAGATAGCTCAATTGTGCATCATGTCTTGACACACAACTAGAGAATTGTCCACATGTTCACGCGATGATCCAGTCCCATTGAACGTGCTAAACGGTGGCTGACATAATTATTTGGGAACAGCACCATGTCAACCTCCGGCATGTATGGTTTGACATGCCCTGGGTGCATGAGTAGTGTGCCTGCATGTATTGAGCCGTGGTGCCTTCTGAAATCACGCATGCTATGTATGGCTTCAAGGTAATTACATATGCAGGTTGGGGACCACTCTGACTAGTCGAAGCATTTGCTTCATTTGTATGGTTCATATTGTTAGTCATTTGCTCTCGGAGAGCAGCCAACTCTTACTTCCATTGAATAACAGATGGCTCAAATGATGGCCACACTTCAATGGAAGGAAAAAGAGTTGGCCACTCTCCATGAGCAACTGGCCAACAATATGAACCATACAAATGAAGCAAATGCTTCGACTAGCTAGAGTGGTCACCAACCTACACCTGGAATTAGCCTCAAAGCCATACAAGCTTAATACATGCAGACACACTACTCCATGCGCCTAGGGTATGTCCCGCTGGAGATTGGCATGGTGTCATTTCAAAACAATTATCGTCGGTCGCAATTTAGCAAGTTCAATGTACTTGTTTGCCGCATGAACACTTTCCTAGTTGTGTGTCAAGACAAGGCACACAATGGAGCTCTTCTCCTCTGACAGGTTTAAACCTTGTCTAGGCCGGCTTTCACCTGGTATAGCAAATTGGCACCAGGCTCCATTTGAACTGAGCGCATGTGCAAGACGCCTTTCTAGAGTGCTTCTACAACACTCAAAGAACGGGTATAACAGAGTTGACACAAACTCTCAAAGAGCGAATGAGAAAAGTTGTCAACTTCATGAACATGTGGAGAAATCTAAGCCTCCGCTGCCCACAACCAATCACAAAACTAGAAGCAGTTTGTATGTGCATGAACAATTTGAGCCCAGACATGGCCATCTACCTCAAAGGTGTGCGGCCAAAATGTCAAGGGTCTCTCCTCCCTCTTACAACACTAGTGGCCACAAACATGGTTAAAGGGTCTTGCAATACTTATAGGGTCTGAGATTACAACAGTCATTGAGTGAGTCACCGGAAACAAAAGAACAAACCTTGCCTAACTCTAGACTAAAACCTAAAGCAATGCACTAACCAGCCTAAGCTAGTACTAAACAAGTCATAACCCCTATCCTAATTTTCTTAATCTTCAGTCTCATATCTTGAATAGTGAAGCTCTCTATTACATGTCTACGCTTTTAGTAGCTTCGACAACAACCAGATGGCTAGTAGGAGCATATTTATAGCCCTAAGAAGAAAATTGGCCATTGGACTTCAAGAGACTAAGTTGCATGCACCGAACAATTTGGTGCACATTTCATGTCATCACTGGAATATTTGGTGCGTGGAATCCAACTAGTCATTGGGCTTGCCATTGCAACCTTGGCCATGTCATCGGATGATCCACCTATCATTCTAGTGCATGCACCAAATCATCTGGTGTGTGTTAACTCCATCTTCACACTAGGCTCGCTTTTCGATGTTTTTGTCCTATGAGACATTTCAGTTGCTTTAAAAAACACACATTCCAAAGATGAACTGCAATAGCATAGTGAAGTATCCAATGCGCCACTGAACCTTCCAGTGAGTGAAGGAAATGTGCTCTTCCCTTGACCCATTTATTTGGTGCTCGTAACTAAGCCAACATCGGTCACCTAGCTTGGTAATATTGAATGCTCTAGTGCATTCAAGGTAAGCACATGGTGCTCATTATGAAGCATCTAGTGCATACAATTCTTCAATGGTCTTGAATTTCTTTGCATTTTTGTCCGAAATTCAAATCTTCGATGTATTGGGTGGATACGTTGTGAACCAACCACCAAAATCACACTAACTCTTTGTAGGGACTAGGGTCATTGATCCTTACAACCAAAGACAATAGATGGCTACTAAGAAAAGTGTAAAGAAATATTGTGTAATAATGGATAAAGTATCAAACCTTATGTAGAGTTGGCGTCCTATATTACTATCTCAGTGAAGATGCATTCGTTGTAGTTTGGGTATAGATCTAAAATAAGTGGAATATAATATGTAGCTACCATAAAGTGTGACATGTCGACATCAATATTCGAGAAGATACATAACTCCCACAAGGAGAGTGTAAGAACCTTATGTTGTATAAGTGCTGTGTAGTGAATAATTTAGTTCTCATATCAATTTACTCTCATATTACTCTCGAATTAGTGAAGATCTCATCAATATTAAGTGGGTACATATATATATAGTTATAGTTCTATTCCACTTCTAGAGAGTCGTGTTTACGTTTAAAGGCATCTATCTCACTGTTTTCATTGGTTTGGCTCATATACGACAATCTGTAGTCAATTACCATGGATAACTGCTTGTACCTGAAAAAGAGTTGGAACATTTGTTCACACATGTGCTATTGATTTGTTCACACATTGGTTTACATTATTTGTTTATAAAAGATGAAACTATAGTTTAAGTGCATATTGAAATGCATGATACAACAACAAAGCCTGTGGCTGCCCATATACTACTATATGTCAACGCTACTTACTGATCCAGCATTGCTTTTGTACGTGTAACTATTTTTTAACTCAATTAGTACAACATAAAGATAGGAAGGCTAACTAAAATCATTTGGAGTGGTGGTTCTTGAATAAATCCTGTTATTAAATGCACGGTTATATATAATGGAGTTATACGTAAATTAATTGGCTGTACATGATAGAAGCATTTCCTTCATGGATCCAATCAATGAGCCTAATACTTGGAAAAGTTCTCAGCTTGCAGAACACAATTGATCGGTACCTGAAGCACACAGAAGGCACACCTGCAAATGGGAAAGTTGAAACAGGCGTAGAGGTACATCCAATTCATTCCTTTCCCTCCCTTGTCTAAGTTACAGTCCCATCTCGCTCATAGAACGAAATCAACCTTTCTACATCTAATGCATAAATGTTCCGAGAATAATGCAATACTAGCCGTAACAGGGTCAGCGTGAGCAAAAGGATGATGCACGACATGTATGCATGTAGTCTCATGCCATGTATATGATTATTTTTCTGCCGAACATATACATATATAAAATTCTCTGCAGCTGAAATTCTGTGTGCGCAAACATGTTGTTTATCAGTTTAAATTATATGTATGTACACAGAAGTGGAAATATGAGGCTACAACCTTGGGAAAGAAGATAGACACAATTGAGACATACAAGAGGTGATGACAATTGACAGATGATTTATCTACTTGCATGTGTTTCCTTAGTTGAGAAGGAAGATTATGTTGGGAAACTGGACACTAAGAATCCATCGTACGTGCCACGAACTAATCCACAGGAAGCTGCTTGGAGAGAACCTTGGATCTTGTTCAGTTCAGGAGCTAAAAGAACTGGAGGCACAGCTAGAGAAGAGCCTAAGCATAATCAGGCAAAGGAAGGCAAGAGCTGTATCTAGTACTTGATTAGTTTTGCATATTGTATGATCCAATGCAAGTTACCGATACAAGAAGGCACTGATCTTTGTTCCATTTTGCTGCATCTATCCATGGACCCTGAGCAGGAAAAGAAGCTGATGGATCAAATTCTAGATTTGAGGGAGAAGGTATGTATATTTATGGATTAGATGAAGCTGATGATGGGTCAAACTCTACATCTGTGCTCCAAATGCTTAATAAGATAGAAACCTAATTAGAAAATATTTGTGCATACAGGAGCAGAAACTCTTGATGGAGAACACGATGCTCCGTGATCAGGTAGGTATTGTGTGGGGAGAAAACAAGGCTACTAGTTAATTCGTTTGTGAAAACTTGTAGTCCATTGATCGATCATTGACTGATCCATCAATACACTGTAATTGCATATCCAAGTGTATGGCCCTGCCTCTGCTAGAGCTGAATGATAAGGACCATGACTATCATATGGATGCTGCTGGTGGCGGCGAAGAAGAGGAAGCGGCAGCGGCGAAGGAGAGGCGCATGGAGGACGTGGAGACGGAGTTGGCCATCGGAATTATTGGAAGCAGGAGACTTACTGAATCGCCTGCGCTGAGGCTCCATCAGCAGCCTGCTGGATCATATCGACGATCGAGCGCATGAGGACTGACACTGTTGGTTAACAACCAACAGTGTCAGTACACCTGGGTAGCCTCGACTACTGCACTGTACTGTGTGCGTTGCTCTGCGATCATCAAATGTCCATGCTGCATGACTGGAAAAAATGCAAGTTGTGGCTGGATCAATATATAAGCTTTACTTTGAAGACAGATAACATGCATGTTACATTGAAGACAGATATGTAAGCTTTACTTGCATTGTATATATACCACGACTGTAGAATTTCTTTACAGAGGTGGACAAAAAATGCTTGCAGGATAGGCAGCACGTCTGCCTGTGGCAAAAGGTCTCGATTAACAGAGCTGCCTCATCTGCACGCCTCTGTAGACAATTCTAGAGAAATAATAAAAAGGCCCAGTGAGCCCACTGAGGCCACCTTGCCCATGACCGCGCTGCCACCCCAATGGGCCGTTGCCCGAGCACGTCCTCCCCATTGATCCATGCAGTCTCGCGTCTGCTGTGGGACCACTCGTCACTTGGTGAGTCCCCACTCTCAACAGCAGTGGCAAACAACTCTCTAAGGAGTCATTTGGGTCCCTTCATTTCGGATGAATTAAAATCTTATTTGGTTTGGTATTTGACATTCCATAACTTTTTCAAGCTCACAAATAAGCCTATCTCAGATTCATAGAGTAGGAGATAGAAATTGATTCTACATATCACTATGCTATAATTCTACTTTCTAACTGATAGCACACTCTTCAACTCATTTTACTACAATAGAAATGTAACATATAAGTATGTCCCTTGTATTCCTAACAATAAATATACAAATATATTTCATATACAACTATGTTAGCTTAATTAATTTATGTCTAAATTATAATTATTAGAATGAATTCAATTCCAAAGATCCAAACGAGCCCTCGTTGACATGGCTGTTGCATTTAATTTGTAGGTACAGGGTAAGAGCAACTTTACTACTTGAGCAGACGGCTCTATTTTTTTATTTGAGTGCTCCTCTATTTTTAGGGTTTTTTTTACTACTCCACTCTAGCATCAGCTTTCAAAACAGGGCACTAAAATTCATTTTTAAAAATTGGCACATATAACTCACTTGTTATCCTCTTTCCTATCTTCTCCCCAATTAACGAACCCTCCTTTCCTATCTTCTCCCCATTAACGAACACGGCCATGCTGGGGGTGCGCCCGGGAAGGGCTCCAATGGGGAGGGGCACGACCACGGCACTGGATTGGATATGGGAGGGGCGCAGCCGGGGAGGGGCGTCGCCGGGAGGGGAATGAGCCATGGACACAACCTCTCCAGCAGATCCTACGATGTCAGTGTCTTCTTGTTCAAGCGATACGATGTGCGATCGGGGAGGGGAAGTCTCTAGGGGCGTGAGCGTGACCTCTCGGCGGATCTGGCGACGCATAGACGGGCTACACGCAAGGGTGGGCCGGGGCGCGCGGACAGGGAGCGAGCAATGTGTGAGAAGAAAGCGCACATAGAAAATTGCCAAAAACAATGATTCGAGGGCTCGTCCTTCGTTTGCCATATGTACCTGCGAGGTCTTGTGGCAACTAGGAACAACATGAGAACTTATTAATTACTATGGATTTTTTAATGCTGAATAACTTTATTTAATTAGGGGCACCTATGCCATTTTTATGTAACAAGAAATGATCTCATTCTTTTCTCTAGATAGAATGATTGTTCTTTTTTTGTTAATTAGTGCCGAACAAACTTTACTAATTTTCTTTTGAAGCACAACTTTAGTAATTAGGGGCTCCTATATAATTTTCATGTAGTAGCTAGCACTAATATCAGTCTTAATTTTTTTTCCCAAGTAGTACAAGGAAGAGGCCAATAGCCCAAGAGCAGAAATAAATAAATATAATAAAGGCTGGGTGCACGAGGCAGGATTGGGCTGGCCCACTGGGCAGAGACAGATAGAGGGGAGAGAGAATAGGGGAAGGGGGAAATCCGCCTCGATTTCGTCGACGCCAAGCAACCCAAACCCCAAGCCAAGTTGCCACTCGCTCGGGATCCCCCTCGTGCCTCGTCCTCGTCTTCGGCTTCTCCGCCTCCTCCTCCCGCCCCCTGATCCGGATCGACGACGCCAACGCCAGATCCCCTTCCACTCCGCCGGCTCCTCACCGCCCGCCCGCGCGCCGATTCCACATCCCTCCCCGGCCTTCAAGCAGGTACTGATTTCGCCCCAATTCCGCTGGATCGGGATCTGCCACTTCCGGCATCCGTCGGCCCCACCCCCAATTCGATTTCTTTTCAATTTCATGATGCTGGGTATGGTCCGCTCCGCTCGACTACTTTTTGTTTGCCTCCAATTGAGCGGCCGGCCGGTCAATTGCGACGTTGCCCAATTCGTTTCCTGGGGAACGATATATATACCCTGATGATGCGAATTTCCGTCAATTGCGTGTTCCATCTGGGACAACTGTGCCATAATTCAGTTATCATCACTCACGAATTGGCCCGTGCCAACGGTTGGTTGCCAATTTTGAGGGTGCTCGGTCTTTAATTGGTTCATCATACTAGTATATGACGCGAAATTCACGCGTTGCGATGCGTTTCCTTTTTTTTCCCCTACCTAGGGTTTCCTCCTACGTATCAATCGATAGCCGGATAGGGAGGTTTTCCTGCTGCATCTGGTGCCACTCCCATCAGATCCTTCCATACAAAGTGTTTACAGTTTTTTTTTTTAAATAAAGGTAGAAATTTCTCTTTTTTTCCTTTAATTGCTGTATGTGTATCCATCGGTTGCTAATGGAGCCTGCGAGTCAAAATCATCTCATGTTCGATTGCTATGCAACTTTGTCATCTCATTTCTATGTGTACATTTTAGCTTTTCTTGAACAAGAGGACACAGATACCATCATCTAATTTTACTACTGTATGTATTTCATTCACTACATAGATAGATAGATGCAGAAATTTTCTTGATTACAAACGCAACAGTATGTAAATTGAGTCTCAGAGTGACTACTGCTTCCTGTAGTATCTAATAATGTACAATAATTCATCATGTCAAGTCGTTTCATTTGTTCTTCTACATATTCTGTCATTATTTAAATTATTATATATGCTGCTTACATTTCTTCATCTCCTGCTTTGCTTCATTTCCCTGCACCTGCTGCTGCCCCCTTCTCATTCTGACCGCAACTTTCTCCTCTCTTGCCACAGTGAAGGAACCTTATGAGCTGGTTGGCTGGGGCTTTACTCCAATTCTGGTGCTACTAAGATGGGTCAGGGCCTGCTCAACAACAAGTTTGGGACAAGACTAACCATAGTTGAAATAGCAGGCGCTTACCATTTCTCGCTCCTGCTCTCCCCCGTGGTTTCCTTTTGGGACTGCATCTTCCGCAAGATAAGATACTCATTCAGACCTGAGTGGGTGTAGCATCCTGCAGTCACCCGTCTTAGCAATAGTTCCTTTCTTTTTCTTCCTCGTCAAAATTAAAAAAAAAAAAAAAGACAGACAGGGGGGCTCTTACTCATAGGAAACCACCTGCCAAGGAGTCCAAAGAATGAACTTTGAACATTTTGTCTTCTTTCTTCCCTAATTATACCTAGTTGTTAGTAGAGGAGTCTACCAGAGGTAATAGTTAGTAGTAAATAGCAGCAGGCACGGTTGTCATGGACAAGGCTATCATGAGCAATAATCAGGCAGGCAAAGTCTTGAAGAAAGGAAAAAAGAAACAGGCCAAGGATGAACTGGATCGCCAGAAGCAGGCTGAGAAGAAGCGCCGCCGCCTGGAGAAAGCGCTGGCAAACTCGGCTGCCATCATCTCAGAGCTGGAAAAGAAGAAGCAGAAGAAGAAGGAAGAACAGCAAAGGCTGGATGAGGAAGGTGCTGCCATAGCTGAAGCAGTTGCTCTTCATGTTCTCATAGGTGAGGACTCCGATGAACCCTGCCATTTGATGCTCAACAAGCACATCAGGTGCAACCATTGGGATGCCTCGGCTGCTTTTGAATTCACCGTGGATGCACAACCCACTGATATCTACCCCTCTGATGATGGACTGATATGCGCCAGCCATGCGTATGCTCCCAGATCCAAAGGGAGGTGGGCTGATTGGGGGATTGGCCAGCCATTGCCATCTTGGGGAGAAGTGAGTGACCTCCAAGGCCCATACTATCAAGGAACATTCCATCAGTCTGTTACCTGCCCTGGTTTCATAGCCGCCCAAGCTGTGTCATCGTTGCAGATCAGAGAAGAATCGTCAGAAATCACCTCTCCAAGCCAAGGGGCGGCGGCTGCAACCGTGGTTAACAGGATGCTTGGTGGCACCAACAGGCTCAACCTTTACAGAGAGATATAAACATTACACTTGTCATAGTATTGTATATAGTCACCCAAAAAAGATGTGTTTGACTGCATTGTCTGCGATATATAGTCTTCTGCTTCCGAAAGAAATGGATAGAACATCTTGTTTGCTGTTTTCTTTGCCAAAGGATATTTTGTATCAGTTAACATTGGTATTGTAATGTGAACATATATGCTTTTGATGAATTGATCGATTCTCGTTGCTTATCTTGGGAACTGTTTTATGCATTGGGATTGCTGTTGCATAATAAATCGCTTATATATCTTAAATATAAGTATGTATATTTATGAGCAGGCATATTTAGGTATACAATATATATACATTGCTTCTGGCATGGAGAAGAATACTGATGGTAAAACAGGCTTGTTTGCCCTCCTGTTCCTGTAAATTCCCTTGTGCTTGATCAAGAAGATTATCTGAAGATTACTGGGCCTGAAGTTATGATTATGTTAGTGCTCTATCATGGCTTAATTTGTGTGAATCCATGTAGCCGATCGACTTTGGGAGGAGGACAGGAAGTTTGAGATTTGCAGTGACGCCAGAATCATGCAAAGCAGAGGGCCCTGGGATCAGGGTTGCCTGACGGATGGCAGAACAGAAGACATTGCAAAAATCCAAAGGGGAATGCATGGTTCTCTCTCTATTTGTTACAGTTGAAGAAGCGTCAGTAGGTGGTTTTGCTTCCTCTGCGATTGATCCTCCCGTATATCTTGTGCCATTCTCGCTGACTTGCTGTCCTGACCACTGTTACATGCAGGCTGCAGCAGGCTGCATATTATCCTGTCTACTGATTGATTGATCCCAAGATCTAGAAGAAACTGAGCACCATAATTTCTGAGCGTTTTCTTCTCGTGAATGAAATGGTATTGTGTTAATAATAAATAAAGTAATTTATGAGCGTTTTGTTCTCGTGAATGAAGTGGTATTATATTAATAAAGTATGATAGGCTGCACAGCGGCTAATGACCGTAGAGAAACAGAGGATGCTCCGCCTATCTTTGACTAAGGGCTGGTTTGGCGCGGCTTCTTTGCTTGTGCTCCGCCTCCGCTGCAAAGCCCCGGCAGCTTCGCCTGTGTACATGCGAAACGACCATTTGGTGCGGCTTCTCAGGCTCCGGTGTCGGAACTGCTGGCAAAGCTGAAGAACCGCAGCGTCACCAAACAGGCCTGTAAGTCCTTGACAGAGAGATAAATTGTTGCTCCTGAGCGTGCTATGGCCTATTATGGTGGTGGTGGTGGTGCAGAGGCAGGCTCCGATCCTGCGCTGCATTATTGGTCTTGGTCCTCCTGTTATGTTAACAGTCAGCAACTGCATTATTGGTTTTCCTTTCCTATTAGCATGCAGATACTACTGGCAATAATGCCTGCAGCACCGTACCGTGATGGTCGTACAATGGAGCTCTCTATCTCAAAGACTGTCAGCCTGTTCGCTTGCTCGTAAACGATCGTAAATTTTCAGTCGGGAATAGTGTTTTTCTCTCACACCAAACCAGCCAGCAGTAAATAATCCACGATACGATACGGCCTCCCGAACAGGCTGTGTCTGTCTCATGCCCCTTCTCGAGTTAATGACAAGGTCCCCCACTCCACTCATCATTCGTCAACACAGGTTAGCCAAATTCCTATGTAAGTACGTATGTATACATACCCGTATCAGTTTTTGTAAGTATGCACGTATGATGTTATTATATATATGTTTTTGTTTTATAGTAGTTGCGTTATTGTAGAACTATTACCCCCTTAACTTCTGAGTTAGGAGTAGTTCAAAAAAGAAAACACATCATACCAACACGATCATCTCTAGTGCTAAAGTCTTTAGGTCACTAGGTACTATTCCACAATTGTGACAAATATGGGAAGTATTTTATTTTGATAAGGTCTTTAAAGCTAGATTTTTGGGTGATGACAACTCTTGTTCTGCATCGTCTCCTCGAGGCGACTTGCTGCCACCGCCCAAAACTCCACCCTCAAGCAGCTCTTTGGCCGCTGCCGCTGCTCGCCAGCGAGCGGTGGCGGAGGCGTTCAACAAGGTAGCCGTCTGCAACTTCTCCCCCACCTCTTCTCATCTTCTTCAATTTTTTGCTCTGCTTCATTTCCAATCGGGATGTGGCGTTGAGCTCGATCCGCGCCCTCTCGACCAGATCCGGTGCTTGCCACCCTGGATCTAGCGCCCCCTCATCCACCGGTGGTTGTGGCAACTTGGTAACCTACCGTAGGCATTTCGAGACAAGGGTAGGCGGTGGAGGCTAGCGAGGTCTCGGCGCGGCCGCTACTACTGGTTGAGGGCGGCGCCAGCCTCCAATGGTGCCGCCATTGCACCTTTGCATGTGCTCCAATGACATCAACGATGGGCGTCAATGGGATCTGCCGATGGCTTGAGAGAGCTGTTCGCGGTGCGCTCCCCGCTGACACACTCCCCTCAGTGTTTGGTGGTTGGGCCAACAACTCCTCAACCTCCCTGCCTGGGGCACGCACCCGTGCGTGTCCAGACGGAGGAGGGCAGTGTTGTAACAAGCGTCAACACCGACAAGCACCTCAAGTCCGCGTCCCCCGATAGTACAGGCCGGGTGTGTCCGGGACAAGTCTCCAGACTAGATTTGCGGTAGACTCGTCGACTGGCCTTGAACGGCTGGCTTTGCCTACACGGCTCTTCTGCTCGACAGAGGCTCCATCTGTTGCATCGTGCTCCCATCCCCATCCGATGGTGCGTGTGCAGGTGTGGTACGTTGTCAGCATTTGTTCTTGGTGAAAGTAAGGCAGTTTCTTGGTGAAAACCTAGCTCGGCTCATAACCACGCCAGTGACGATGGTGTCCTCATCCGTCATGTTCCTTCTTGGAGGCGTCGTCGAAGAACCACTTGCCACCTTGTCGTGTGTGGTTTTAGGATGGAAACCCAACCCAGTGTCCCTAGATGTGCGATGGTGACATCTTTCATGTCATTCCCTTCTTGTAGGCATCACATTTGGAGACCACCTACACCTCGTGATGTTCATCATTACACACAGCTCAAATCCACCTCTAGTGTTCAAAACCTTGATGTTTGCACAGTTACTAAGCTACAAATATCACCGACGGTGTCCTTACTCCACCATCATCCATGATCCTTGATTGCTTTGTCTCACCAAATGCCAGGTTAATGGGAGCATGATCCCCTCACTTGGATCTCCTCGTTCTCCTATTCCCGGCCCTCCCTCCTTTGAGGCTTCCTCCCTTCAATGGGTGCTGGTGGGCGTCGATTGGATCCTGGGTATGCTTCAAAGACATCGTAAATCAGGGTCGTCTGCCACACTCGGCTCAAAACTCAATAGTCGTATGTGGAATAGAGATCGCTAGAGTACAATCACCGATAGTGGTGTTATGAACAATGACATGCTTTTGTCATGGGATTTTGTATTTCTCCCTTATGTGTTGTTTAGTGTGGTCCTCCACTCTTTTTGTGTGTGTTGTTGTTGGTGTACCTGATGTCAACGTGCGTACTATGTTGTATCTTCATCGTGAAATATATTTTTATAGTATATAATAATTTTATTTAAATTCATAAATGTTGACACTCGTTTCCATAATTTTTATCAAATTAAATAGTTTGACTATATACACACATAAGGTTGCATCATTTTTAAGACAGAGGTAGTAGTTATTTGGAAAGAAAAAAAAACAGTGGCATCTTTCTCTCACCTCCCTCACTTGCCTACACTACAGTCTACAGATGACGACTGCACTGTTATGAACCAATGATAAATTTGAGCTAGGCCAATGGTAATATTCCTTCCTCTTTTGTAGGCATAGGATAGGACTGCATGCATCACAACTATTGTAGGCATCACTGGACTGCATGCATCATACGGAGTATACATCAGTACTTTGTTGTAGACTAGCTGCTTGCCGTCAGTTCGAGGATCACATGCGGTCGTCGTCGGATCGGAGATGAGATGAGATTCCGTTGGATTGCATGGATTCGTCGTATGGATTCGATGGCTAGGCTTCCGCAGGCCAATAATGCATGCATATCTCATGCCTCATGGAAGTATATTGAACATATAGAGAAAATTCTTTCTATACCATCAAAAAATCAAAATCTATAAGCACCTTACATGCATAAAAAAAATGATTTCCCTTCAGTGGATCCCTCGTGTGCCACTGGTTTGACTCGTCCGTAAAATTCTAATGTCAAGCCGTTATAACGTCGTCAGTTGACAATAATCTTTCCGTTTTTATCCTTGCCTAACGACACCTCTTATCCAAACAAAATCACTCTCTCCAGTTCTCCCCCAAATCTCCTTCTCTTCCCAGACCCTAGATCGATTCTCTTCCATAGTTAAACTTAAAAAGATTTAAATCCTCAAAAAACATAACACCCAATGCAGCATGCATGTAGAGGCTGTTTGGTTTGGAACTGGAAAAGGTTGCTTGGACCAGGAATACATCCCAGGGTTTCGGACGCCTGGGGAAGGATGTGTTGCCTGGCGCATTTGCGTGTCAGCCCTCCGGCCATCCAAACAGCCCGTAGCATGTCGTATCGTGTCGTGGCTGCCCATATGCATATATATCGTGTGATCTTCTGACATGCGTATCAACAATATAGGAAAGGTATGTATTAATTATATGTATATGATTGCGCCTATATATCTCCTCTCAGCTAGCATATATATACGCATATGTATCATGCATTAATACACACACACACATACTTGTTTCGTCGTATATATATACTATGCATATACTAATAAATAAGGACCATATATATATATATATATATATATATATATATATACGCGGTGTATATAAATTAGGGATAATTGTCTGTTGGACATCCAAAGTGATGGTCCTTTGCTGTCGGACACCCACTTTGGAGCATTTTGCCAGAACACTCTGGTTCGTTGAAATTAGGCCACAGGACACCGCGGGCCGGTTACAGCCGGTTGAGGAGAGAGAAAACTTTATTTTGAACATCTGGTGCCCCTGAACCACACTTAGGTCCGCCCCCAACCTGGTCT